AAAAGTAACAAAATATACAATCCACACGAGGTGCGTCGCCTATCATTGTATTTCAGCACTTTCAAAATACTACGACAAAAAATGATAAATTCATTGTAAAACACTTCAATTAAAACAGAATTTTTTAACAACCTAACATCAACCCCAATTAGAGAAACGTGTTAATAATTTATTAATAGTGCAAGAAACTAAATACAGCACATACTTATAAATTTCCAACGGGCCATTATGATCTACAGGCCAGGTGGCAATCGCCACCCCCCCCCCCCCGTGCCAGTCCGCCCCTGAGTATTGGTTTTAAATTTGATTGATAAGGTGTAGATGCTCGTGGGGGGCGATCTGAGCCTGGCAGCATCGCATTAAAGTCAAACACTTCAAGGTATGGCAAACTTAACAAACTCTTTGAAATTTTGAATTCAAAATGACAGATAATAGTGCAATGGGTCTGAAGTAGATGGCGTTACGCGCGACGGCGAGTTGTATATACGTATTAAAATTACGTTCACCGAATATATAAATTACGTTACACATGGTTTAAATAAAACTAGCGCGCGAAATCATTTTCAATACATGTACATACGTATAGGTAGGTAACAGCATTATTTGCATTGAATATGCTAAAATATGTGATTTGGATGTATAGAAATATCTTACAACCTGCAATGTAAAACGATGTCAATGTGACATATCTCCGTGATTGCAATTTTTTAATTGGCCAACTTTCAAGGTCAATTTCTTTTTGGTACTAGGACCAAAAGTGTCCACTTTTTGTACAGTTGTCATGGTGATCCGGAAAACGCCAATTTTACGTACCGAACACTTTCACAAAATAGCGTCTTATTGAGGTGGTTGGAGAAAAAATCAATTTTTTAATTTTTTATTCTATCGAGTGACATTAAAATCCAATATGGTGCCTATAAGAAATGAGAAAGTTGATGTGATTTACTCGAAACCCACAAGTCATAAAAATTTTATTTTAGCACAGAAAGCTGACAAAAAATCACAGGGTTGGTGAAAACTATTTTTTGGTACCTTTTAAAATAAATGAACGGCAGCACATGTAAAATTTGAATGTGAAGTTGGCCCTGCCCCGATTTTTTTTTTAATTTTCTCATGTTATGTAGCATTTCCCAACTGCCCACTTTTCGCGTCGAAGTTCTTGGAATATTATGAACTGTTAAGTCCCTACCGCTAGTCATAAGCATTCAAAAATATTAAGTTGTGTATATTATTTATATTGCATATATGAAAAATTTCTGAACCAGAAGCGATGAAAATGTATTACAGTAAACGATACCTAGATGCAAATTATGATAAACTAAACAAGGGCTGTAACTCAGTAGAGCACAATTTTACAACTTTTCCAGAATAAGACATTTATTTTTGCAATCTCTTTGACCCTATTCGTGCAGCAAGTGAAAGATGTGGCCCGTGGCTTGTTTTACATATCAAATCCACAGCCTTTGTTGTTGCTAGAGAAAATATCTTGTAAAATATAGAAGCCGATGATTCTACTTATCGCGTAAGCGAGACAGGGAGTTATATTGATCATGAGCACGCTGACCAAAGCCAATTAAGGCGACTGTCAAATGGGAATGCAAAGTCAATAGGAAAACTGCAACACGCGCTATACGTTTTTCACCCATAAAATATTCGTTTTCAAAGTGATGAATTGGTTTCCCCATTTAGCGCTAAATGCTAAGCAAATGAGGAAGCAATTACATGTTACGGTTCCACAGTGTTTCCTCACTATTTCAGCTTTTAATTTTCAAATACAAAACTCGATGTATACTTTTAGAGCTTACGTTTTTCCGAGCAGGCAATTTGTTCCGAACTTTCTCCTATTATCTTTTTCGCATAAAATAAAACTTTTATAATTATATCAGTGACGTTTATCGAGGATGACATCTGAAAATTTCCACGTAAACATAATGCCATTATTCAAATTACTGTTAAACGGTCCTTTGAGTTTTAATCTAACGTTAACTTCTGAGGTAATGCAGAATGCTATCGAGCTATTCATTAAACTTGGCCAGTGCAAAAATTTGCAGCGAGCGGTAGCACTCGAAGTGAATTTCCGGCACTTAAAAACCGGATCTCTTGGGTAAGTATCTAACAATCCGTAAAAAGTACGGTTAGAATTCTGAAAGGAGCTTCCATTATATACACCTTTCAAATGTTTCATTAGTTGGCCAAATTCCGTTATAAGTTACAATTAAAACACTTCGGAATTCATTAAAGTTGATAAATGGTTTAACTTTGAAGTATTTGGCAAAAATTCAAATTGTCTTAGACAGGTAATAAAGCGAGAATTATTGCTTTTGTGAGTTCAACAATAGAGTCGCTAAACTTGTAGTGATTTTTCTCCGACTTCCAAAAGCTTCTTTAATCTTTTGCTAACGTTATAAATACCCTTGTAATAACGTACTGATGGCTTCTTCCCAATTTTCAAGCAACATTTGTTTAACGCCGCCGTAAAGCACAAGAATAGAGGCGTTATATTACGGCAATATAGAGCGTCATAAAAAGATTTATTTGATTCAAAGTTGATATAGGTTTTTATAATCAATAAATACAGGTTACGCTTTGATGTAAATTCTTGATGCTGGGTAATCCTACCAACTGACGATATGAATGTTCGTACACCCTTGAAACAATGTAAATCACACGAAATAATCCCCATTTTATGCTACATTTTCAAACTTATAATTCATCCCTTTCCCACGAGCAGGCAATCAAACTCATAGAGGTCCTTCGTTATTAATTATATCGAATAAATTTCCCCACGCTCGCAGAATAATTATTGTTGCATCAAATCGATATGATTGGTAATTCACTCCTCCTTGCTTTGAAGCACGCGACGAATTGTCACTGTAATTCTGATCGCTTGAAAATACGTACATGAAGGGAAAGGGATTTGTGTGCATTGCGTCTCCTAAAATTTTATGCTAAATTCCCTTGTGCCACAACGTTGTTCATTAATAACTTTTAAACCTGAAGTGAAAAGCTACTAATTACCGTATGTCCTGTTACACGGGACTATAATTGGGAAGGACAAAACTGGGTTGAATGAGATAAAGGGAATAATTTATCTGGGGATTAATGAACGAGGAAATGCAAAACTGACTTTTGTTAATCTGCAAGATTATGGAGATTCATTTATCGATTATTATTGAAATAATGACTTGAAAAATGTGCTGGCTAACATTTCCAATCGAATACGAAATCTGATTTCATATACACCAATATTACAATATATATGCATGTACTTCAAATGAAAATCCACAATTACAATCCGTACACTGTACGTAAGCAACAAACGTAAAACCTCTTTCTCCTCAAGAATCAATAGTTTTAGTTTGAGGATATGCATTGAATGAATTATCCTGTGCAACTTGCGCGAAGCTAAAAAATCGCCGGCTAGACACCTGCGTCCAGGAGAAAAAAATTCACTTTGCCCGGAAAGCTGTCTTTCGAAATTCTCACTCACATTTCCGGCGTCACGATTGATGTACAAAAAATTAAGAAATTCGTCATTCAATATTTGAAAAACTAGCATGCCGTGTGCTGTCAGAATGCGCTGTCTCTGTTGTGTGAAGTTTTCTAATTAGTGAATCGCGAATTTTTCTCATTTTTTTGTATATCAACCATATGCAGCGGCGGATTTACAAATTTGCCGCCAGAAAAATTTGATACCCTAGTAGCTTTTTCCCGGTATTATCATGAATATTGTGAACTAAGGGATAGTGATTTAGTGAAAATTGGACGAGAAATAGTTTTTGGGTAACTTCTGAGCTAAAAAAAGCTTAAATTACTAATTATAAGGTGGAGTAAGATATGCCTCAACATTTTTACATCAACAGCTTACACAAAATTATAATTAATTTAAATTGTGAGCTTGGAACACTATTGAAATGTTTTAAAAATTCATGATCGTAAAAGTATATTTTACAGAGCGTTTAGTAATTTTTCATATACGAGTACATACGTTAGTTATAGTGTACTGTACTAAAATATTGAGCTTTTTGGTAAATTGTTGAGACTCATTTTCTTTATTTATATAGGGTGAGTTTGTTACCTTCCTAGCTTGAGCTAGGTGGCTATTGCGTTGAACGTTTTTTGAGCATATTTTAAGCAACGTTTAAAGCATAAAATAAATAAAAAACAGCGTGTACAGTTTCGGGAAAAAACCGTCACAGACTTTAAAGCTTTTAAAAATATTTTTTTTTATTAAACAGGCCTCTAAAGAAACACCCTGTATATTTTCTATTACATAACACTTATACATAAGCTACCAAAAGCACTTACGTCTCAATTACTAATCTAAAAATGTCAAAAAATCAAATTCCATTAAAGGGCCCCCGTTACAAGGTTAAACTTTCCCAATTTAACTTTTTCGAATAATATTTTTGATACTAAAATATTGCATATGTTTAACTGATACGCAATACTTTCAATGTTCCGGTAACTTAGATCGAGTGAAGCATTTAATTCAATCCTCCTGATTTGGAGATAATAAGACAGTAAGCCAATGACAAAGCAAGTATGCAATCAACCAATCCAAAGAGGTGCTTGTTGTACCATTGTAATAATTAAAGCCCTTGTTGTATCAACGTATTCGCCCCGAGGAAAATGCACGAAACTCATTGCAGATTAAAATCTGTTAGATGATTCTATAAATAGCATTCCGGATTGGATTGTATGACGTGTATTGCAACTTCTAGCATTTCAGTTTTCAATCAGGGAATTGATGCTCGTTGAAACAAGCGTAGAAATTATTTGCTAGCCATAATGGATGACCCGAGACTAGCTAATATCACACAGATTAAATGTCGTCTGCAAAATGCAACTTTAGGAAAATAGTAATTTATTTAGGGTTTGTTTAATATGACCTTAAGCTAAGCAAGAATCGTCACTAAAATATAGCCGATTTATTACTCGTTTTGTAAATTGAAAACGAACAGAAAACGGCAGAAATTTGTAAAAATAAAGTTACTTACATTTCTTTCCAAGTTCCAATTTGTATGTAATCGTATTTTCCGTCGGGATGTCTTTGATATTGATAGATGTTGTAACTTCCGAAAGCGTCCCCATCTGCATTAAATCTAATTTCGGTCCCTTGGCGACCTAAGCAATAAAAATGAATTGTTATAATGTAACTTATTTTCCAATGATTTGCGAGCTATATATATAATGTGAGTACAAGAAAAGCGGAAAATGGAAAACAAACGCATTTTGTTCTAGATAAACACGTTGCTATTAATAATTTTCGTTGAAGCACGCACACAGACTATAAATTAGGATTGCGTGTTGTAAATTCAAAGTTCAAATTGACAAGTGAAATTGATCAAATCGGGCGATTATGCCATTTTATGTTACAAAGTGAAATACCCCTATTAAATGGGACGACTGATCGTATAATGCACTTCTGAAATAAAACAAATCGATCGATGCCCTCTTGGCCACTTGCCCCAAATTTCACTATACTCTAGTAACATGTGGCAGTACAAACGTTGAATGCCGTTTTTAGTTCTCTTGCACACTCTATAAAAACATCCATTTCCTAAATGGAACCATATCGATTGCGATCAAGGGCAACCGTTCCGAAAGTACAAAAGCGTAGGCACCATTTTTGTATTTTTGTATATTGTGTTTTGTATATTTTCATAATAAACCTTTCAGTTTAAGACCGACAGTACTTTTCACGTAAATAATGCGAATTCAGAAGTCGTACTATGGGGTCTTGAAAAGCATTGATTTAAGGCAAGTGACCGGAGTCAAAAATTTGCTGCACGGCATTCGAGAAGGTAGGGAAGACTAGTCACACCTTAAGCAATAAGGAAAATGATGCGGGCGAACCAATTACTCTGGGAGAACAGGGGTGATTGAGCTTTGGCTCTACAGCTAGTCTATAACTTTTGATTGAGAAGTCTGATCGAAAAAGTACGAATTGTTTTGCATTCTACGCACCAAAATTAATAAGAAAAAGTGTTTTTCCGAGAAATTTTGGTGCAGTCGATTTTTGGTAAAAAAGGAAGGTTGTACACTGCCTTTTTTTGAGGCCCTCAAAAAAATTGTCTCAGATCGACCCGGAAAAAAATTTTTCTTATAGAATGTGGCCTGTAGAATCCATAATTTCAAACAGTTCCAAGATTGGGCTACTAGTTCAAAAGTTACAGCTCTTTGAATTTTCTTTCGAAATTGGTTTCTAGTCTATAACTTTTTTTTTAGAAGTCTGATCGAAAAAGTACGAATTGTTTTGGATTCTACGCACCAAAATTAATAAGAAAAAGTGTTTTCCCGAGAAATTTGGCTGCAGTCGATTTTTGGTAAAAAAGGAAGGTAATACACTGCCTTTTTTTGAGCCCCAAAAAAAATTGTCTCAGATCGACCCGGAAAAAAAATTTTCTTATAGAATGTGACCTGTAGAATCCATAATTTCAAACAGTTCCAAGATTGGGCTACTAGTTCAAAAGTTACAGCCCTTTGAATTTTCTTTCGAAATTGGTTTCTAGTCTATACCTTTTGATTGAGAAGTCTGATCGAAAAAGTACGAATTGTTTTGGATTCTACGCACCAAAATTAATAAGAAAAAGTGTTTTCCCGAGAAGTTTTGGTGTAGTCGATTTTTGGTAAAAAAGGAAGGTTATACACTGCCTTTTTTTGAGCCCCGAAAAAAAAATTGTCTCAGATCGACCCGGAAAAAAAAATTTCTTATAGAATGTGGCCTGTAGAATCCATAATTTCAAACAGTTCCAAGATTGGGCTACTAGTTCAAAAGTTACAGCCCTTTGAATTTTCTTTCGAATTGGTTTCTAGTCTATAACTTTTGATTGAGAAGTCTGATCGAAAAAGTACGAATTGTTTTGGATTCTACACACCAAAATTAATAAGAAAAAGTGTTTTCCCGAGAAATTTTGGTGCAGTCGATTTTTGGTAAAAAAGGAAGGTTATACATTGCCTTTTTTTGAGCCCCGAAAAAAAAATTGTCTCAGATCGACCCGGAAAAAAATTTTCTTATAGAATGTGGCCTGTAGAATCCATAATTTTAAACAGTTCCAAGATTGGGCTACTAGTTCAAAAGTTACAGCCCTTTGAATTTTCTTTCGAAATTGGTTTCTAGAGTACAGATAGTGAACCTAATCATATAGTTAGGTGGGCAGTGAAACTTTCCACCCGTAGGAACTTCAAGAATGGAAGATGCAAGAGGAGGTCATGGTGCAAGTACCGCCATTAAATTCGCGCTATAGCACAAGGGTTGCCTGGGACTGTGTCTCCGATACAACCGTCGTCCGTGTTGCGAAAGATTTGTCATCGGCGATAAAGAACGTCTGGAACATCCGCCTTAATGTGACACAATCGTTCCGGGAAAAATGACGTGTTTATTCTAGAACATTCCAAAGCGTTCTAGAGCAATTGTCGTTACTGTTATAAATTAATCTATTTTAAGACTGTTGTAAATTTAATATTAATTAATTATAAATAAATAAACGACGTAGGTAATTAAATTTACGTTACAAAAATATTGTTCTTGTAGCAGGAAAAATAAATTAAAGTGACCGATTAGGAATGGAAAATGGTTTTTCACGATTTCAAATAAAATTGGACCTCTTCTCAACCTCATAACAATTCATATTTATTTCTCTGTTGAAACGGGTAGTTTTAGATGATGTAAACGAAAAATTGACCAGAAACTGCAAAGTGATTTTGAAAGGTTTATGTTTAATGGTTGCTTTAATTATTTATTACAATTTTGAGTTGAAATCCTAGAAAACGTCACAATTGTATTCAGGAGCAAAGGATCACTGATTATAATTACTGTGATTTTTTTGAGTATGGGTGTATTTGAGTCCCATTTGACTGGGCTGCTAAGGTTATTCTCCACAGAGTATTGGGAGCATTTGCAAAAAGGGTTAACCTTAGTCACAGGACAATTCTATTAGCCTTCTTCTGTTGAAAGTGACGATGATAGTATATTCCTTATTCGATTCGAAAGGATTTGTAACCCAGTCATATTGCTCCAGATTATTGGGAAAACAGTTTTCAAAGTGTGGGGGGAGGTCGACGGCGGCTGGGGTTCACGTCCAATGACAGAATGCGCGCGGCGCTCGACAGATTACCCCCCCTGAGACAAGCATGTCGCGACGCACAGTTTGGGAAGTTGTAGATTGATTTAAATTTCTTTGCAAATTCCAAAAACCATTTCCATCCCTAAAAACTCACAATATCATCATCCCCTCGACTTTAGTTTATTTTCCCGTTGTATGCACAATACCATCATCCCTTTCCAACCATTCTGATGGTATTACCATTTTTTTTGTCATATAAAAAGGTCTACTTTCTCCAAATTTAAGAGGGGTTGTTAATAGATAGCTAAATTTGAAATATGCAAAGAAGCAATTGTTATTTACTGAATAATCCTACAATAAAATTAATTCAGGGGCGAACGTCCTGTCATTTTCAAAATTACGTGCGATCCCTGATGATATTGTACGGCGTCGCACAGACGGATACAGTGGCATTTTGTATTATTTCGCACATAATACGAAATTCCCATAGAGCTGGCGTTGCGATGCGACAACAATATTGGAACAAGTGAACAAATGAATCTTATTTTATTGTCTAAAGTCAGTAAAGCTGTTTTATTTAACCACACATACCGGGTATCAATAAAAGTTAGAAACAAAGGCAATTACAGTCCAAATATTTTCTTTTATATTATGCTTTCCAGACTGTACTGTACTAATAGATTTTCCATTAACCCACTTATTGGATGTTTGGTTCAAATTAAAGAGGAATTATCCTCACCTTACTTTAATTTCTTGTATCAACATCAATTTTCCGCTCTATATAAGCACTAAGCTAACCCTTTATAGACCCCACTAACCGAAAGTACTTACCAATAAATGAAACATTCCTTAAATACTTTAAAAGCTGCGGTCCGAGAGGGGCGGGTTTCAGTTCGTCACAAAAATAAAAAGGATCGGTCCCGCATTCGTCCTGAATGATGTTGTGAATTGCGTGTGCTGCTGCATAGACTGCGTCCACTGGAAAGAACAATGAAATTGGCATCCACTATTATAATTAAGCACGGTGTTCAAATGCAATACAAATTCCAAACATCGCCTAGAATCTGTGATAGGGATGGTGCTATGCATAAATTTCAATACTTATTACAACATTACCTAATGTTGATAATGAAGGCAATATTAATACATTTTCAATTCAATCAAATATGAATTAATTTGGGATGCACTTCACGCTTTATAAATAGAAGGGATTTTTGGTTTGTGGAAGCATTAAACACCCGTACTCAATAAAGCTACTTAATAAAACAATATGTAAATTCATTCGCAATGGACGTATATTTTTCCATATATTTGCAAGCCTCTCAACCTGTTCAAACTTACCCTCTAAAAACACTAACTTTCCTTACATGCCAAATAAAGCTTGGGATTATTTTCGTAGAGACTTTCCAACGTGTATACCCTCAACTTTATGATATAAGATTTTTTGGAAGTCTTTTGTAGAACTGTAAGCCCTTAAATAATTAATGAATCCAGCTTTTGAGCTTTATATGCAATGCCGAAGCGTGTATCTTTTTTCCGTATAAAACCTAAGAGGGAAGCGACCATTTTTATCAAAATCTACTTGAAAATTTATATACCTTGAACCATTCCCTGTGCAACTTGGTGCAACGAATTCAGCATACGTAATGAAATTTTCCGTTCTCACACGTGGTTCAACCGTCTGTCTAATTTTACTACACTTTAAAACTGAAAACCTGCGGGAAAATTAATATGTGAGTACGCGAAGCCTTCCTCGCAAAGCTAAAAACGGCAGATCTGCACATTTTCAAAGCAGCTTTATCATATTTCGACTACTTTTGTCAAATGTATGGGCGCGCAATAAATCATGATAATGTCATACGGATACAAAGGGTGTAAAAGTGTAGGTATATCCGGTTTATATTTGGCATCATCAAATTTGATCATATAACGGATAAATTTATGTGAAAAATTGAGCATGTTCAGATCTTTTCATGCTTTAACGTTGATGGATGTTAGATATCATTAATTAAACAATCAATTTGTGCGTGCGCGACCTATCACGGTTTCTTTTATTATTACCACTAGTATTACACCTCTACAATATTAACATGTTGCCGTTACGGACTATTAGGTTTACAAAAAAGAAAAGAAACAAAACGTTATTATCGATTAGTCTCTTGACGATCACTCCAATTAAACAGTAAACTAATTCGACAATTCCGGGGTGATCAACACCGTCCTCATCGTTAGCTAAAGTTTTTTTCACGGTAGTCGTCCTTTCTATTTTTTGTTTGCGGTCTAGTAACAACAAACGCTTTATTATTTATTTGAGACATATTTTTTAATTCATCTAAGTCGCGATAATGCATCTGCTAAAACGTTATTTTTTCCTCTCACGTAATGAACTGTGAAATCATATTCTTCGAGTGCTAGTCGAAATTTTGTTACCTAGATGGATTGCATACCAAATAAATACAAAAGTGGCTTATAGTCAGTAAAAATTGAAAATTTTCTGCCGAATAAATAAGGCCTAAATTTTTTGACTGCAAAAACCCTTTTACGATTATACGGTAATTTTTCACTGCGTTATTTAATGTTTGACTTGCATATGCAATTGGTTTATCGTTAGAATTACACAAAACTGCACCTAACGCTACGTTTGTTGCGTCAGTTTTAAGAATAAATTTGTTTTGTAATGAAAAATTTGGATACTCTAAAATTGGTGGATTTATTAAGCAATCTTTTAATTTTTCGAATGCTAATTCACATTCTTGTGTCCATAACACCTTTTTTTGTTAAACGATTTAATGGCGACGCTATTTCCGAAAAATGTGGTATACATTTTCTGTAATATAATTTGCCTCTTCACTTCTGCTCCATTTATTGGAACAGGGTAGCTACGCAGAGCTTTAAGTTTTTCTGGGTCTGGCGAAATTACATGTCCCAAATAAAATATTCTTTTTTACAAATTCGCATTTACTTGGGTTTAATTTTAATTCAACTTTTCGTAGTCTATGTAGTACTTTAATTAAATTTCGATTATGATCTTCAAGACTGTTTCCAAAAACAATTAAACCATCGAGATAAATAAAACAAATATCGTAATTTAATCCGGACATCACAAGTGTCATTGCACGTAAAAAGAACTTGGACTAGTCTTCAAACCCATTGATGCCCTAGTCATTTGAAATTGACTTTAGGCGTTGTAAAAGCTGTGCATTTTCTAGAGGATTTTTCTAATTCTAATTGGTAATAGTCTTGATATAAATCTAAGTGTGAAAAATAAATTGCGCCTGATAATGCGTCTAAAATTTCGTCTATACAAGGTAAAGGAAATTTGTCATCTTCTATACGCGTATTTAATTGTCTATAATCGATATTACAACTTGCCATTTTTTATTTCCTAACCTAACTTTCTTTGGAACAATTAAAATTGGAGCGGAACAATCAGATTTTGTGGGTTCTTTTGGAACATATTATCAATTTGCTGGTTTAGTTTGTCTTTTTGGGCATAAGGTATTCTGTATGGTTTAATGGTTGTTATCGTGAATGGATCATTTTCCATATAAATTACGTCTGCAAACTTAGCACATATTTTATGTAGGTTTAATTTTTCTTGCGCGCTTAATAAACTTACGTTACGTTAATTTTAGGTTTAAAATTCTTAATTGAAATATCTCTATAATTAGTGTTTAAAATCCTAACTAGAACTAAATTATCACTGTTGGGCTTAACTATTGCGCCTCCTACGAAAACTCCTTCTGAAATTTGTTCAGATTGTATCACGCATTCGTTTTTCGTGTGGCGGCGAAATACTTAATTACTTCGCTTCGAGGTGGTATTTGGGTATAAATATCGAATTTTGATATTAATCGTACAATTATTCTTTGGTTATTTAATTGAAAAGGATGCTTCAAATTTTTCATAATTTAGAATCGCCGAGTATTTACAAAAAAAATCTTCACCTAATATTCCTTGCATTACCTTTGAAAAATCATTCACGACTAAAAATTCATGACGAATCGCGATATTTATATAATGCAGTGGCCGTATTTACGGGGGGGGGGGGGGGATGAAGGGGATATATCCCCCCCCCCCCAGAAGAATTGAGTTATCATCATAGCTATTAGGTATTTAGGTAATACACCGCTATCCGCTCCGCCCACTTTAAAATAAAGGCAATAATATATAGGTATATATAGAGAGCGATTTTGGTTTTGGTTAAAGTCTAAAGTCACTAAAATCTAAATATTCTGTAGTATTCAGTATTCACTATTCAGTGAGTGATCAGTGTTGGCAGTCAACGATTTGGCTATTCGGCATCGATCGGCAATTCGCTACATTGATGCCCAAAATAACAAATATGTGTCAGGTGACGAAAATAAGAATTTTAAATTTTAAAAACAGGAATTTTTTTGGCCATAACTTTTGATTGAGACGTCTAATCGAAAAAGTACGAATCGTTTTGGATTCTACGCACCCAAATTAATAAGAAAAAGTTTTTTCCCGAGAAATTTTGGTGCAGTCGATTTTTGGGAAAAAAAGAAGGTAATAACTGCCTTTTTTTGCCTAGAAAAAAAAATTGTCTCAGATCGACCGGAAAAATATATTTTCTTATAGAATGTGGTCTGTAGAATGCATAATTTCAAACAGTTTCGAGATCGGACTACTAGATCAAAAGTTACAGCCCTTTGAATTTTTTGTCGAAATTGGTTTTTTGCCCATAAATATACCTATTATTCAAAGTTTTCGTTGACTAATTAAAGCAAAAGCAATAAAGGGGCCTGTCAGCAGTAAGAAATAAAATAATAATAATAATAATTGACTTCATTCCCATACAAAATGATATACATGAGCATCCACTACATGAGAGTAAAACAAAAAAAAATTTCTTTTTAAGATATCTACAGGAAAAAACAAGAGGAGAAAAGAGAAGAAAGAAAGTGAATTTTTTAACATCAAAAAGAAATTTAATAGGGAAAGGGATTCTCTATGCACTAAGCATACAGCCCTGAGTTAAAGTGTAGCTTTAGTTTTTTTTTTCATCATTTTTGTTCTATTTTCAGCAAACGTGACTTAGTTATGCAAGAATAATTAATATACTGTCCAGAAGTGTCGTTTGAGTCATCATCCATTTTTGAATATTTTTGAATAGATTTTTTGTTAATCTTACATTTTTAAAATTACTCGGTAAAACATTATACAATTTTGGTCCAAGATATAACGGCGATCGTTGAAATATGGTTTTATGTATTTTTGGCAATTTTTTATATTGCTTGGTCATGCTTCTGGTTGTTACGAGCTGATTTATTCTTTGTGATCCATGACAGTTGCTAATATTAAAAAATTGCCGAAGAACCTTAAACAGATACAAGTACTTTAATGGCATAATTTTCTGGTGTATAAAAAGTGGAAGAGATGGTGTCCTTCTACTTTTTTGACATATTGATCGTATCGCCATTTTTTGTAGTTTTTCTATAGGAGAACGGATACTATGGGCAGCCGCTCCCCAACAACATACACCGTAACTAATATGGGAATGCATATAAGCATAGTAAATTGTTTTTAACGCATGACAAGTGATGCTTTTAATATATAAATTTTCCTTGCTATTGAATATAGTCTAGATTTTAGGTATTAATATGACTCTTCCATGTTAATTTATTATCTAATATTATACCTAAATATTTCTGTGTTTCTGTATATGATAGTTCAGGACAAGTACATGGTGAAAGTCGGTTACAGGAGCTGCTGATACGTAATATTTATTTTGGAAGACAAATTAAAATGCATAACCTTAGTTTTATTTACATTTAGTGTGAGTTTGTTATATTATATTGAAATATGGTTCTAATCTAATCTTTTTCGCCTGTACAATAATAAATAGATAAATGACTACCTGTTGAAGCATCTTGTATAACCAGATTTAAAACATTGACGTTATGGTTATAGATATCATAGATGTCGCTTATGTTCGTATTGTAAAATGTACGTTCGTTGATGTTAGCCAAAATGGCTGTA